TGGGCTGGGCTGTCCACGCCAAGCTGGGGCAGGTGTCGCCTCGCTGCCTCTCCGCTACATTTTCTCACTCACCTGCAGGGAAAGCACACGTGGGTGAGCAGCCAGCCTCAGGCCTGAGCTCGGGGCTGGTGGAGGTGGGGGGGTGGGGAACGGCCAGCCTCCCACCTGCCCTGAGGGCGCTGGCCTGACTGCAGGCTGGTCCCAGATGGCAGAGGCCGGGGGCCCTCCACAGCACCCCTGACAGGGACCCGTAGGTGAGAACCTTTACTCTCCGCCCCTTCGGTTACCTGGCTCCCGGGGGAACTAAGGGAGCATTTCACTGCTGAGCTGTTCAAAGCCCTAGGTCTACTGAGAATATTCTCAAATATGTGACCCTGATCTTGGTTTTGAAGAAGAAAATCCTCGTGTGTTGGTCCTGGTTGTCCCACCTGGGAACCGACGGCAGAGCCAGAGGTCAGAGGTCAGAGCAGGCACTCTCATCTCCACCCCACCTGACACGTTTTCCGAGCTCATCTCATTCATATCTCAGTCAGCAGCAGGATTATTTACTAATCACCACGTTACCCATGCATCCTTCCCACAACCCTGCCGGCTCCATTTTCTCTGAACGACTGGGGAAATGGAGGCACAATGTAATAACAACTGCTTCTTCAAAAAAAAAAGTGTTAGGAACCAGTTTATAAGATACTATTTCCCTAAAACACAGGAGTTCCTGTGTAGAGTGATGTCAATGGACACATTGTGATTCTTTTTAAAAAAATGCATATTCACCCTAACTGATTTGGCTCAGTGGATAGAGCGTCAGCCTGCGGACTAAAAGGTCCCAGGTTCAATTCCGGCCAAGGGCATGTACCATGGTTGCGGGCACATCCCCAGTAGGAGGTGTGCAGGAGGCAGCTGATCAATGTTCCTTTCTCATCGATGGTTCTAACTCTCTCTCTCCCTTCCTCTTTGTGAAAAATCAATAAAATATATTTTTAAAAAAAAGAAAAAAATACATATTTTATTGGTTTCAGAGAGGAAGGAAGAAGGAGAGAGAGAGATAGAAACATCAGTGATGAGAGAGAATCATTGATTGGCTGCCTCCTGCATGCCCCACACTGGGGATCGAGCCCACAACCCAGGCATGTGCCCTGACCGGGAATCGCACCGTGACCTCCTGGTTCATAGGTTGACGCTCAACCACTGAGCCACACCGGCTGGGCCACATTGTGATTCTTGATTAAGTTGTAAAGAGAAGGCACCATCCACCCACAGGGCTGGTGGGTGATGAGGACTCGAGCCTTAAACAGGCCTGGTTCTGAAGATGAAGCAAGGCCCTGCAGTCCCTCCCTCTCCCCAACCTACCAGGACGGGGAGCCAGCGGGGCCTCCCACTGGGCCGTGGTCGGATGCCCACCACACCCAGCACTAAGTGCAGTCCCAGCCGAGCCCCCACCCCCACCCCCATGGCTTCCAGACAAACGCCAGCTTGGCATATGCCACCAAAGAAGCACCCCGTTCAGGAGGAGCAATGCTGCCCAGAAGGGAGCAGGACAGCGCCCCTCACAGGCAGGAGCCGGGACACAGAGGCACGGAGCGTCTCCCTGGGAGAGTCTGCACATGCTCCTCCACCGTCAACTCCCGGCCGGTATGAATGCGTCTAAATATAGAAGCGAGTTCAGCAGGAATGAACCTGTGCAGAAAGACCTCAGTCCCCCCCGAAAACAGCAAAGCCTCTGAGCATTCACCAAAGCAGCACACACATCGCCCAACCCTGACGGCCTGTGCTCTCCTCACCCGTTTCCTGGTGACCTGGGGAAGCTCAGCTGGGCCGAGGCCGGGTGCAGCTGTGCCGGCTCCGAGGGCTCTATGACTCAGCAAACAGCCTTCACTTTTCAGTTGGAATTCACCAGGCTGCGCTGCGACTGCATCCAGGGGAGGGCCGGCCGCGGCTCCGGCTCCAAGCAGATGCTTGTGGCAGGATCGCCAGCTCCCCGGAGCATGAAAGTGCCACACCCTGCAGACGGGCGTCTCAGGAACGCCCAGCTCCTGTCCACTGGGAGGCTGCGTGGATGGCTGCTGGGTGCGGAAGGAAGCCGTCCACTCAGCCCTCGGGTGAAGGCAGCACCCTAGATGGGGTCCTGGGAGCTGCCCTCCTCTGTGTGCCCCCAAGGGGAAGCCTGACACGGGCGGGTGGCCACACGCCCAGGTGAAAGGACAAGTGAGGACCGCTGACTCCCTGCCCATGCGCTTGCCCGGTGTCCGGCCGCTCCAGAGGACCCCTCGGGCGGGTCCTCTCCTCCTTAGAGAATCCCCCTGGGGTTCGTGCAGCCATGAGGTCAACAGTATGATCGAACCTCCACTTCATTGTAAATGGCGATGACAGGAGAAACTGGTGTCCCTTTAACTCCAAAGAGTGAAAATACACAAACGCACCAGACAAATTGAGGCCAGAGCCTCTCATGCGATTGGTGAGCCCAGGCACTCGGCCCGCGGACACCCAGCTGAATTCCATGATAAACCCCGAGATGCACCAGGGCAACGTGATCAGGGCCTGGGACGTCAGGGTCTGTAGGGTTTCCAGCTGAAGGGCATGGAGCATCCAGCTGGCCCCATTCAATCAGGGAAACAAGACGGGCGGACAGAGGGCCCGGCCCAGCACAGAAATTGGGCTGCATTTGGTCAGAACAACTGGGGGTCTCCCCAGGCGGAAAACTGTGTGAGCCCTCTGAGTGAGGAGCCGGCGTCCCCCTCCCATTCCTAGGGGACGCGAAGCCGTCTGTCCTCTGTGCTGGTCTCTCCTTAATCCTGCACCAATATCACACTGTTGGTGGTGCCAGGTCGGAAGTCTTCGTACCTGGTAAGGCTCGTCTCTTCCTCCTTGTTCTTCAAGTTTGGCCTTTTTTGACCATTTATGCTTCTCTGTCAGCTTGTCCCGTGCCCTGAAAACTCACAGATTCATGGGGAGAAGACTGACGTGTATGGGGTGTTGGGCCCTCTTGCTTCGTTCCCCATCTGCTCAGGGCTTCTTCGTGTCTCTCAATGAAGTACCGTTTTCTCCAAAAGGTTTTACACAACTTTTGATATATTTACTCAGGTGCCTGATCTGTGTGCTCCGATCACGAATGGTATTTTTGTGTGTCCTTGTTGCCTTTTCCTTACCGTAACTAGGGGAAAGCTGGGATGTAGGAAAACCGTTGATTTCTCTATGTTGATCTGTGCCAGCAACTTGCTGAAATCTCCCAGTTCATGTCGACCCTCCCTGGAGAAGGCAGTTTTGTTCCCTCCTTCCCAGTCTTTATGCTTCCTATCTTTCCCCCACCCTGCTGTGCTGGGTGGCGCCTCCAGCACCCCGTTAAGTAGAAGCAATGATAATCAGCATCTTTCTCTCATTACTTTCTTGAAGAGAAATCTTATAGCGGGTTCCCCATCAGGGACCAGTTTGCTGCAGGATTTTCATCGATTCCTTTTATCATGAGAGCATTTATCTGTATCCAAATTTGCTAAGTGCACATTTTTAAAAAGTTTGTGAATGGGTGTTGTCATTTATCAAACGCCTTTTCTGGGACGGATAGAAGAACTGTATTGTTCTCTCCTGGTCCCTCCAGAGCCAG